CGCCTTGTCAGTGCCACGCCGCGCCACCCCGCTGCCCGGTTCCTGCTGTCTTGTCGGCGCCACGCTGTGCGGCGCGTGCCGCCGCGCCAGCGAACCACAAGGTGTGGCAAGGAGGCGGCTTGAGGCGGTTGTCGTCGTTGCCGAAACGCCGCTGATTGGGCTTGAGAGGGGCGGCCCTGCCTTTCCAGGGCCCTGATGCAGCTGTGGGTGATGGGCTGCGCGGCTTGCTCTGTTTAGGTGTGACCTGCTTGCTGCATGCACCGTACCTCTTGCCATGCCAAATGTCCCCTTCCTGGCACCCTGCCCCCTTATTTGCACCATCCCGCAGCTTTTCAAGATTATTTGCGGCCGCCTGCGGTGCGTCGCTCTCGCGCGGCCCTGCTGGCCGGAGCGCACTGTCCGCAGCCACCCCCTGCGATCGCGCCGGCCCTTGGGAGGGCTCATGCGTCATGCTCCTGCTGCCCACTTTGCATCCGCGCACCAAGCTCGGGCCCTGACCGGGCCCCTCGGCAAGCCACCCCCACGGCGGTCTCCTCCTCCTCCCCTGCCCCTCCTGCTCCTGCTCCCCTGAATCCTGCATTTTTCCTGCCGTGCGCGTGAGCCCGCAGATGACCCCCTCCTCCTCTACGACCCACTCCACCCGCACCCCCGCCGATCCACTCCTCAGGCCGGACTTCCTGGACCGCTGCAAGCCCGCGGTTGCCCCCGGCGAAGTCAGCGCGGTGCGAACGCGCGCGCGTGTGTGTGCACTGAGCGCAGGCCCTGAGCTGCTCATTGCCATGCTTGCGCTGTGCCTGTCATCATCCAGGCCCCGGATACATGCCAATGCACTTGTCTTGCGGCTTCCAAGCCATCCACTTGTGAATCCCCCGCCCCATAACACACACACACCTACATGTGCAATCGCGCGTGCACGTTCTCTGCCTGCCAATCACCTGCACCACAGATATTTGATGCTGTGGGCACGGGTGACACCTGGGGCACCAACCCCCGCGTCACCTGCACAGCGGATGACGACAAGTTCCTGCGCGACGGCCGCGTGTCCTTCCCCTCGGGTGCGTGGGCCGTCGGTTTTTGTGAGAGGACCGAACGGGAAGGATGGTGTGTTTCATAAGGTGTGCTAAGTTTCATGTGCGTTTGCGGCCTGCCCCAGCCGCCCTATCCACCCCATTTATGCGCCCCCGTGTTGACCCTCACTCTCTCCAACAACCTTTCTTTACCTGAATCCACTGCTTGACTGTTCGTATGCACCCCCCACACCAGGCCACTCGTCCACTGCGTACGTTGTTGGGTGGTTTGGCTGCTTCTACCTGATCTGGGGCACCAGCGTGCGCTCAGACCACCAGATGAGCCGGAGGTGAGCCACGCGCCCGCGCGGCAGTGGAGCCACTGAGTTGAACATCAGCCGCTGCATCGCACGAGAACTTGAGGGAGGCGTGGGCAGGGGCCAAGGGGGGAGGAGGCGTCACAAGGCAGCTGGTGACCCCCTGCATTGAGATCGGCGTGCGACCGAGGAAGACGGAGCCCCGCATGCAGGCGCGCGCGCGCCGACGACCGTGCAAAGGCCAGGTCTGCAAGCCTGTCAACGTGCCTTCGGCCGTTGTCTCTCATTACAATCCAACACGCCCCCACCCCAACACGCCGCGCGGTCGCAGGCTCTACCGCCCGCACGACAGCGCGCTGCGCCGCGTGGGTAAGGAGCTGCTGTCGTGCCTGCTGCTGGTCCTGCAGCTCTTCCAGCTGAGCTACCCCTGGGGCGTCGGTGTGTCGCGCTTCCGCGACAACCGCCACAACGCCAGCGACGTGAGGGGGGGCAGGGGCAGGGGCTATTGCTGGGCCAGGGGCGGGGCGGGGC